GGGAGCATTGGCAGTTCAAGGGCAGGGCTGGGCGTCGCTGGGCCACATCCCACCAATGGGACCCTGCATGTTCCTTCTTGTGCCTTAACCCTCAGTTTCTGTTCCTGGAAAATGGTACATTATTTATTTTCTGGTTTCAATGTTTATGTAAGGTGTAGCTCTTATAGAAGTGCAAGCTCCTTGAATGCCCACCTCAATGAATTTTATTTTATTTCTTTATTTTAAGATTTTATTTATTTGAGAAGGAGAAAGAGCACAAGCAGGGGAGAGGGGCTGAGGGAGAGGCAGACTCCCAGCAGAGCAGGGAGCCTGACTTGGAGCTCCACCCAGGATCCTGGCATCATGACCTGAGCCGAAGGCAAACACTTACCCAACTGAGCCACTCAGACACGCCCCCCCAGCTCAATAAGTTTCTTTTCTTTTCTTTTCTTTTTTTTTTTTTTTTTTTTTTTTGAAAAAGAGGAGAAACTCCCGCAGACTCCCAGCTGAGCATGGGATCTGACGTGGGGCTTGATCTCACAACCCTGAGATCATAACTTGAGCCAAAATCACAAGTCTGATGCTTAACCATCTGAGCCACCCAGGCACCCCTGATTCCCCCCCCCACCCTTTTTTTTTAGAGAGAAAGCACAAGCAGGGGGAGTGGCAGGGGAAGAGGGAGAAGCAGACTCCCCGCTGAGCAGGGAGCCCAGGACCCCGAGATCATAACCTGAGCCGAAGGCAGATGCTTAGCCGACTGAGCCACCCAGGTACCCCTGATTCTATTTTTTTTTTAAGATTTTATTTCTTTATTTGACAGATGGAAATCACAAGTAGGCAGAGAAGCAGGCAGAGAGAGAGGAGGAAGCAGGCTCCCTGCTGAGCAGACAGCCCGATGTGGGGCTCGATTCCAGGACGCTGGGATCATGACCTGAGCCGAAGGCAGAGGCTTTAACCCACTGAGCCACCCCGGCACACCCCTGATTCTATTTTTAAAAATGTTTTGGCTGTGTGGTGATCTATTGTGCGCATATGCCACAATTCATTCATCTTTTTGACTACCAATGGGCCATGCCTATTCTAGTTTTTAGCTATATGAATAAAACTTAACGGACATATCTCATAGATGTTTTTCGATGCCCATCAGCACTCCCGTCTCCCCCAGGAAGGAGAGAAGTTGCTGTATGACCTTGCAGCCCTGTGTTCAGCTTGGGCACAAAGTACCTAGCAGTTTTCCAAAGTGGTTGAATCCATTTATGCTCCCACTAACGGAGGAGGAGAGTTTTCCTACTTCTCCATCGTGGCGGAAACTTGGTATTTTCAATTTAGTCCCTCCAGTAGGTTGTCATAGCTGGGGTTTTGTTTGCATTTCCCTGGTGACTAATGATGCTAAGAAAGCTTTCATATGTTTGCTGCATCAATATTTGTGGAAAGAATGAATGAACAAAATGTGTGGATGACAACGGAAACACATATAGCCCTGTCTTGCCTTGCTGAAAGCCTACAGGTGGCTGGCTCCCCATGGCTTTTAAGTCCAAACTGAAACCCCTCCCTCGGCCAACAAGATCTTGCAAGTTCTGGCCCCTTCTAATGCCTCTTGCCCCGATGGGTCCTTTTTGCTTCTGCCTCTGGATTTCTGCCACCCAGATCGTCTTCCAATTCTTCTGAGGACCTGCTCTGTCCTGTTTCTGTTTCCTGCAAGCCTGAGACCAGACTCATCAGTTTTATCTCGGCTCAAAAATCCATCCTCCCAGGAGCCTTCCTTAACCTCCGCTGCCAGCAAGCCACGACCCTTGTTGGCTCTTTTCCACTTTCCTTCCTAACTTCTAACACAGCTGTAATAGCCTTTCTTTATGTGATAATTTATTTATTTTAATTTCTTTAAAAAGATTTTATGTACTTATTTAACACAAAGAGAGAGAGCACAAGTAGGCAGAAAGGCAGGCAGAGAGAGAGGGGGAAGCAGGCTCCCCGCTGTGCAGAGAGCCCGATTTGGGGCTCGATCCCAGGACCCCAAGATCATGACCTGAGCTGAAGGCAGAGGCTTAACCCACTGAGCCACCCAGGTGCCTCTTTATGTGATAATTTAATTAACCTGTTCCCCTACCATAAAAAAAATACTTGTAAAAACCTCAACACTTTGGGGCACCTGGCTGGCTCCATCAAGAGAGCGTATGACTCTTGATCTCGGGGTCGTGAGTTCAAGCCCCATGTTGGGTATAAAGATTACTTAAAAAAACCACCACCGACCACAAAAACAATCCTAACACTTTCAGCTCCATAGGAACAGCAATTGTCTCTTGTTCCTAGCAAGACTTGGCCTAAAATAGATGTTCAATAAATATTTGTCGAATGTATAAATCTTAAAGCAACTACCCAAGGAGTATTATCACTTGCATGTAAATGATCCCTTAAAAACTCACATTCAGGGTCGCCTGGGTGGCTCAGTGGGTTAAGCCGCTGCCTTCGGCTCAGGTCATGATCTCAGGGTCCTGGGATCGAGTCCCGCATCGGGCTCTCTGCTCAGCAGGGAGCCTGCTTCCCTCTCTCTTTCTCTCTCTCTGCCTGCCTCTCTGTCTACTTGTGATCTCACTCTGTCAAATAAATAAATAAAATCTTAAAAAAAAAAAACTCACATTCAGGGGAACATGTGCCAATTTAAAAAAAAAATCAGAGAGAGACGCCTCGGTGGTGTAGTCCGTTAAGCATCTGACTCTCGGTTTCAGCTCAGGTTATGATCTTATGGTGGTGAAATTGAGTCCCACCTCAGACTCAGCTGGGAGTCTGCTCGAGATTCTCTCTTCCTCTCCATCTGCCCCTCTGGCTCATGCTGTCTCTCTCACCCACTCTAAAATAAATAAATAAATAAATCTTTAAAAAAAAGTCATAGAAACTAATCCTATCTCCCTTCCTAGGTCCTGTGGAGGGTGTGTGTGTGTGTCTCATATTCAATCATTCTTTTTGTTTTATTTGATGCAGCTGATGTGTGTATGTGGGTGTGTGTTATGGAAACGATACACCAGGCAGGGGATTAAGGAGGAGAGGAGGGAAGAAAGGTGTTGCAGGTACCCACAGTGAAAGCTTAGACTGCTAGGCCCCAGCCCCAGCTCCTGTGTCACTGATTGCCTGGCCATTAACCAGTTCTAAGGCGATGGGGCAAAATGGCCAACATTATAGATTCCTCCCTTCCCGACCAGTCTGCCAGCGTTCAAAGTGTGATTTAGCCACCTACTGTCTACATAACCCCTGACAAATTACTCTGCCTCTTTGGGGCTCAGTCTTCTCCACCACAAAATGGGGATGATGATGATGGTGATGATAATAATAATAATAACCTCATGGGGGAGCGCCTGAGTGGCTCAGTGGGTTAAAGCCTCTGCCTTCAGCTCAGGTCATGAACTCAGGGTCCTGGGATCCAGCCCCGCATCAGGCTCTCTGCTCAGCAGGGAGCCTGCTTCCTTGTCTCTCTCTGCCTACTTGTGATCTCTGTCAAATAAATAGATAAATAAATAATCTTAAAAAAAAATAACCTCATGGGCTTGTTGTGAGTATTTAATTCATGTTCATTGCTAAGAACACGGCCTTAGGAAGCCCCATGACTGCAAATGCCTGTTAATTATGCCTACATGATGGTTTGACTTACGATTTTTCAATGACACGATGGTGGGAAAGCTATACACGTTCTGTAGAAACCAGACTTCGAATTTTGAATTTGGACGTTGTCCTGGGCCAGTGAGATGCCTTATGATACTTCCTCACCATGCAGCAACCTGCAGCCCCCAATGGGTCATGCCATCAAGAGCACCTGTAACCGATAACACGGACATTCTTTACATTGGACATATCCAACACTTCATATATAGTGGGCTTTGTGTCGGATGATTTTGCCAACTGTAGGCTAATGTATGTGTTCTGAGTACATTTAAGGTAGGCTAAGCTAAGCCATGATGTTTGGTAGTTCAGGTACATCAAAGGCATTTTCAACTTAGGGTATATTCAGCTTCTATGGGTTTATTCCACATAACCTGCTGCACGAGCTGAGAAAGGTCTGTATGTCTCCAAGCCTCCTTTTCTTTACCTGTAAGGTGATGATCAATAGCCCGGCTGTTTGAGTGCTGCTCAAAGATGGTGGAGAAATGCTGAGGAGCTTTGTAGACATGTTGGGGAGACAACTGTTTGGGATAGAGGTTGGAGTCTTCCCGCCATGAGTGGGGGGGGGAGTCTGAAGGGTGGTGGGTTCAAATCCCATTTCTGCTATGGCAGCTGTGTGACCCTGGGCAAGTTACTTCACCTCTCTGAGCCTCAGGTGCTTTGTACACATGTGGGGGGCGGCAACTGTTTGGGATGGAGATTGGAGTGTTTGGGCCTTGAGTGCTCTGGCGTCAGATGGGTCATGGGTTCAAATCCCACTCCTGCTATGGGCGGCTGTGTGTCCTTGGGCAAGCCACTTCACCTCTCTGGGTCTCAGTTTCTCCATCTGTGAAGGGTTCACTGCGAAGTGTATCCTCGTCCTACTGTCTCTGTGTCAGCTCTGGCGTCAGCGGGCTGGGTCTGCTCGGTGACCCTGGAGAAGTCACTCAACCTCCGTGTCACTAGTGACGATGCAACGAGGACGCAGCTGAGCCGTTTGGCACTCTCGGGGCTGGCTGGCCCAGGGCTCGGAACCCGGTTTCTCCTGGTGTTACTCTTACGGTTGTCGTTGTCGTCGCCGCCACCGCGGGACTGGAAAACGGGTGGCAGGGGCCGGCCGCAGAGGTCCCCGCCGCTCCCGGAGGACACGCGCCGCCGCCCGGGCCCCCGCTGAGCTGTAGGGCCGTGGGCGACGGGCAGGGCGCCGAGAGGCGCAACACAACCTCCCCGCGCCCCGCGGCAGCAGGAGAGCGGGGCGCCGGGGCGGGGCGGGGCGGGGCGCCGCATCCCCGTGACGCGCGGGCCAACCAGGCGGCGTTGCGGCCCTGGCACCCTCCACCGCCGCCTCCCGCCCTCCCGCCGCCGCCGCTGTCGCCAGCAGCCGCCTGCCGCTGGGCCCGTCCGCCCGCCGCATGGAGCTCCGCGGCTTCTGCAGCGCCGATGGCTCCGACCCCTTCTGGGTACGTGCTCGGCGGCCGCCGGGGCCGCGTGGGGCCGCCGGGAGGGGGCGGCCGCCGGCTGGGAGGCCGGCCGGCGTGGGGAAGCACCGGGCGGGGCGGGCCCGCAGCCCCCCGGCACCCGCGGCCACCCGGAGCCGCGTTGCCCCGCTCCTCAGCCATCCCGGGGGTGGGGGTAGGGGGTGCGGGTCAGCGCCGGGTCCCTAGCGGGGGCCGCTGATGCGGGAGGGGGGGTGGAAACTTGGGCGGCTCAGTCCCCGGGAAGCGGGGCGAAGGCTTTGCATGTGCCCGGCTCCGGGGCTTTAGGGGAAACGTGGGGGGCCAGAGCCTGGGGGAGAGGGCTTCCTGCTTTGCGGTTGCCCCCGCAGTTGAAAATAACCTTCCGCGGAAGGGGACGCCAGGGATGGGGGCGGGGGTGGCGGGCAGCACAGGGGGTTATCTCCGGGTTAAGTTCTCTTATCTCCTTTGTGGGTTGGGGTTCTCCCCCTTTCACAAAGAACGCCCCCTTCCCAAAGGTCTGAGCTGGGAAGAGGCTCGCGGGCTGTGGGAAGGGATGTTTGTCCCCTTCCCGGTTTGCCTCATCAACATGACTCTCCTGTGGTTACGGTTTTTTTTTTTTTCCGTCTTTTACTTTCTGTCTGCCTCCTTAATTACTATAGGGGAATTTGGAGAAACAGGGGAAGAATTGGGGAAGTTTGGGGAACAGGCAGGGAAGAAGGTAGGGGTGCTCACCCCTGCCATGTCTCACCTGACCCTTGGGTCAGGTTTGGGTGCCCCCTCCACAACCTTCCCGAGGATGCCCCGGATCCTGGTACCTTTGTCATCCCATCTCTGTAATGCGAGGCCCCTCTCTGGGGATGCACGTGGCTTGTACCCTGGCAAGTTTTCCTCTGCGTGTTCACTGCTGCTCTGGCCCAGGCTCCCGAGTCCACTTTGGGTGGTTTAATCCCCACTGTCTTGGGCTTTAGCTTCCCTGTAATGCGATTTACCCCGTTGTTTCAGGAGGTCACGTCTGTGTCACACTATCTTGATTATTGGTAAACACAATAGGCAAATCTGGACAGCTTTTTCACCCTTTGTGTAGGACTCAGGAGAGAAAAACAGCTTTGGCTCTTTGGAGCTGGTGATTAGCATCCAAAAATACCTCCTTGTCCTGTTTTGTGGTGCAAACTGCCTTTGGAGTATTGAAAAAGTCATCCCAGAGGGCTCCAGGGGAAGGCTTTCTTTTGGGGGGTATCAACCAAATACAGCTCAGTATGTCCCCAGTTTTCAGGCCAGTGGGATCGGAGTTACTCTCCCGCTGGAAGTCAGAAAGATGATTTTGCATTCAGGGTTGGGGGTTGCGGCTGGGGGATTGGAGAGCATTTGGAAGGTAGGACTCTGGAAACACCTGTGGAGTCCCCACTCCCTGTACCAGGTGTAACAGCACCAAGATTATCTCTGCAAAGACCCAGAGAGGGCTCTGGTCGAGTGTTGCTGTGAGTTCTGGAGTGTTTGTTTCCTTGTTTATTTTCTTCTCCCAGGTTACACAGGGGGGGAAATATAGGCGACCATAAATTAGATTTTGCATCAGGATGTGCTTTATTGATGACAGCTGGCCATCGATGATTAATGAGGTTTTCAAAAGCGGGGTGTGTTTCAAGGTGCTCTCTGTGTATTTAGCTTAAGAAGCTCACCCAGGAAAACCACTTGGGTTTTTTTGGCTTTGGCCTTCTTGCTACAGAAATGATCAGGTGGTTGTTTTGCTTAGGGAAGGTAATGGCTGGTCTTCACTGGCAGACCCTCCCTCTTCGCCCAGTCTTTGACCTTGCAGAATTTCCTCTGCCTCTTTCCTTTTGGATTCCTGGATGCCCCTGTTTTGGGTGGGGGAGGGGGTGTTAGGGGCCTGGAACTAGAGTTTGAGAGCTGGCCACTACTGCCTGAAAACTTCCAGGTAGCAGGAGAAACCAAATGGAACAGAAAGAAGGTAGCTTTTGTGTTTTCCAGGGTGGCATACTCAAGGCCCACCTCCCAACCAATTAAACCATGTGAACTTGGCCAAGCCACTTCACTGTTGTGTGCTCAGGTTCCGCATCTGTAAAATGGGGGCAGGTTTCAAAAAAAAAAAAAAAAGGGCTTTTTATGGTTATGGTTGTTTGAAGGGAAAATGAGATCACAGAGCCCGAGCCTGTGGCGTGAACAGAATTAAACAGTGCATTTTTAAAAAATCATTCTTGCTGAAGATGAATTGTAGGTTTCCAGTTGCTTGTCCTTCCTTTGGACTCACTTTTTCTTCAGTTGGTGGGAAAGGGATTGGGCTGCTGTCCCTTTCCCGCCCCCCCACGTATGCCTGGCTTCTCTCTGACCAAGGTCGTGTGTTCAGAAGTTAAAGGGACTGGCCCACGTGAGACTCTTATCAGAGCTTTGTTCCTGGGCCAGTGCCTGCCTCTGAGCTTCAGGAAATGTCCAGAAAAACCAGAACGTGGAAGTCGTCCATGGTGAGGGTTTCACTGACTTAATCGCCTTCACCCAGGCAGGTGGTCCGGGGGTGAGCAAAGAGCATCTTCGTTACCCAAATAGGTGCCAATTTCACCAACATTTGGCTTGTTTTTTTTCCATCACTGTGGGCAGGAGGGGGTTGTTTTGTGGCTGGTATTTGTGTGATGGTTGGGAGAATGGGCCTGGGCCTCTCCTTCGGTGTTAACTATTAAAAATTATTTATTAGGTTGCAGACCCAGTGTAGAAAATTTGCAAAAAAAAAAAAAAGTGTCAAAAAGAGGGGGAAAAAAAAAGTAGTAAGCGGTGCAGGGCCTCAGAGGGAGTGCTGGCATCCCCTGGCTTCCAGTCCTGGTCCTGCAGCTCAGGAGAGTTACTTCTCTGTGTGCCTCAGTTTCCCTATATGGAAAGTTGGGGGGGATAAGATAATACGAAGAAGCAAAGAGCAGTGATGTAGGAACAAATGAGCAAATCCTTGGCAGGTACTTAGAGTGTTGCTGCTTGGTATACAGTTAGTGCTCAATAATTGTAAGCGGTCGACACCGGTTGGAATTCTCTAGTTAGTTCTTGCTGCCGCCCCTGCTGTGGCTGGCGGTGGGTGGAAATAGCAGATCCGTGTTGCCCTTCATGGAATCCTGCTAGTATTTGACCCCCCAAGCTGCTGTTTGCCTCGGAGAACTCAGTAAATCTCGGACTATTTGAATCAGCAGCCAAGGGGTGGGAGAACAGGAATATTTTAGAAGCTGTTAGACATTCCCCCTGGGGTAAGATCTGGCCTTGGAGTCAATGTAATTTGTCTCTTAATAGCTCCTCCTGGCTTCACAACAGTCTTTGAAGAGCCCAATTTCCACCCCCCAAGTCCCCCCCCCCCCCCCTAGTTTCCTGTCGGTTTTCAGACTCATCCCTTTACCTTCCTTCACCTTCCTGTCTACTTCCCCTTTTTGTGCATCCCTCGTTCCAGTCTCCCCCTCCCTCTCTTTGGATGGTTAGAGCTGAAAGGGACCCAGGAATGGATGGGATCCTCCCATCATCCCACTTCCTGCATGAATGTGGGAATCTGGAGGCCGGAGTGGGAGCATGAGGGGCCCAAGGTAAGAAGGTGAATAGCCTGGGGAGGAGAAAGGGAACCTTTGAGAGGACAGGGCCGGGCAAGCGCTAATACGGGGTTCCCAGGTTGCCTTACTGCTTTGCCCTGTTCTCCTTCCCCCAGCTGGACCGTCTCCATCGGTGATACTTTTGGGGGTGAATGTGGTAATGGACTCAACTTTTAGGAACTGCATTCTCCAGCTGGGGGTGGGAGGGGTGTGGGGTGTGGGGGGGCGGGCTCCATCCTAGCCTGTCCCAAACGGAACTTCGGACCCTCCTGATACCAGTTAATATCAGCCTTGTCCTCTGGTGCCCAGGCCCCACACCTGCAGCATCCTTGACCCACCCCTCCCCAGCCTCCCATTTCTCATCTCAGCTGTCAGCACAGCCTATTGCCTTTTTCTTCAAAACGTTTCCAAATCTGCCAGCGACTCAACGCTGCCCGCCCTCCCCACCTCCGCCCAATTGCATTCTGGCCAGAGCCACTGTCAGTTGGCTCACTCGGGGATTTGAGCATTCCTTCCATACTGCTTTCCCTGCTTCCATCCTTGACCCCTGGAGTCTCGTCTCAATGCAGCGGCCAGCGGGGGCCTGTTGAAGACACAGATCAGGTCCCATCCACACCCCCCCCACTCCCGACGCTTGACTCCAGACTTGGACTCAGATAGAAGCTGAAAGGCTTAGGCCTACTAGAGTCTGCAGAATCTGCCTGTCACTTCACTGAGCTTCTTACCTGCTACTTTCAGTCTTGCTTCACTCCTACCACGCTGGTTATTAGACCGCCTCAGGGCCTTTGCACTTGCCTGGAATACTTCTTTACCTTCAAGTATTTGTTCAGATCACCTTAGGCAGTTTTTTTCTGACTCCCTGCCACTTCTTTGTTCCCCTAATCCTTTGCATTCCCTCCTCTACCCTTCCCCACCCCAGCCAATCTAATACATAAGATATTTTTACTGATTTTGTTTATTCTCTGTAAACTCCCACCAACAGGTCAACTCCACAGGCCCAGCGGTGTTTTGTTTTGTATTTGGCCTGGGTTTATTTATGGCCACAATCCTTGCACTTAGAATGGTGCCTGGGACCTAGTAGGTGCCTAGTAGATACTTGTGGAAGACATAGATGACACAGAACGCTGGCATGGCTTCTGATCTGGGCTGTAGTCTCTCTGCAGAGGTTTCTAAGGACAGAATAGTCACTCACCTGTCTGGAACGGATACCCGGGGAGGCCGGGCTCTCTGGCTTCCACGCTTGATGGCATAGAGTCTACCTTGCAAGGGTCAGCACTGAGCCTTGCCTCCTCCCTCCTTTCCCAGGATTCAGTGCCTCAGACACAGTCCAGGCAACGTTTGAATTCGAGTGTGGGAGGTCCAGATCTAGCCCACCGGGGAGCTGGTTTGGCTTTATTTCAGAAGAGGCCTGCGGGCTCCCATTCGTTGCATTTC